GAAAAAAATGTTGTAAAAACATTTATGGCTAACGGAACTAAAATTTCGTTAGGATTAGATTAAAATTTAGCATTGTAATCTGGGGTTGATCGCCCGGCTCTTTTTTGTAACAAAAAATCTTCACACTTTGAACCACCTAAAGCGTAGCAGGTCAAAAAATCGTTACAAAATGCGCTCGCTTATAATCGAAAGTATTATTATTTTAGATATTCGCCTTCACTTAGCCATAAAATTAAATTGGATTCGGTAGGGGAATTGGGAATAATGAAGTTCGAAATAATCGTTTTATCGATGAATAAAAAATTATTGGTGTTAGGGGAAAACGAAAGTATAGTTTCGGCAAACTATAGACGGTTCAATATTAGCCCTGTAGTGAAATAAATAACAGAGATTTTCGAAGACCAGTAGAGGCGTGGTAAAAATATGACGAATTATCTGATTAGAATTTTTACCGTAACGATATTAAATGTATTTAGAATAGAATGGAATAGAAGTGTCGGCACTGAAAAAATAAGCATAGTCGGCATTTAACTCAGCTCCATCATTTTCTTCATAAAAGTTGTGACAAACTCATTGAATAAATTCTTATAAGTGTCATTGAATAAGAAATTATAGGTGTCATAGAAGCGATAAGTCTTATTACGATAATAAGCGTCTTACCTCGACAAGATCATCATAGAGATAACGTTGCCCACGAGTCCCATGATCCCGACGAAGTTCAGCAGTATTCCGTACACGAAGAAATGGAACAAGTCTTGGTGAATCTCGTTCAGTTCCCGGATTTTACAGTCTGGGTCAGCGAAAACCTCTGATTGGTTGACACTGTTATTGGTGGTTAGTGATGTCACCATCGTGCTGCTGGCAACGATGATGGACGAGACTGTGATGGTGACATCACCAGACTCTGTCACCATCACTGAGGAGGGCAATAGTGAGCTGTTGGTGAGCACTGCGTCCATTGCGCGGTCACGTCACTCTGCAACGAATAACGAGTTATTAGGGACTAAAACTGCATTAATAGAGCATGTGCAACAAGTATGGGTGTAATAATAATATTGCAAACGCACTTTTGAAAGCTCATGTTCGTAGCAATTTACTGAGAAATATCTTTGCAGAAGTAAGCAAAAGTGCGGCGAATTGTAATCAAATGCTATATTCCCATTTTCAACTGGTCAGACTGCATGGTGAAATAAATAAACAAATTTATTCTCTAAAATATTTACAAATTACTTGTAATTGTATCTCTTTTTGTGCTGTATATTTCATGTTTTGACATTTATTTCTAGAATCAGTTAGCGATGTGTTAATTAAAGGGGTAAAAATTGCAAACAATTCGCGTCGTGCAACGTGTAAGTCCAGCACTTAACGTGAAATGAATGCGATAAGTCCAATAGAGCTACATTTGACGTCTTCAAATTGTTCGAGTGATACCCATTATCTGGACTTTTGATTTAGCGCGTCTGAACTGATGATATCTCAAATTGGCTAATTATCTACTTCATAACAGCAAACGAGTAAATTAGTATGTGAATTAATTTGACAAATGACAGGTTATGATGCAGACTTAACGATTATTTATTACATCGCAAGCATGTTTCATCTGATGTTATTTTTCATGTTCACTGGTACCGATAAGAAACGTTCGCTTAATTTGATTAAGGCGCTATAGTGCCCGGGGTCATTCGGGCGTCTCATTCAAGTCATTATAATTACATTCTAAGATTATATCATCAGTAATTAAGGCGTAATATACACTAGACGCGTAAGCGATTTATGGAAAAGTACTAGCCAAGAGTCAGTGTCTGGACAACAACACGTGACACATCACACGATCAAGACCTGAGTAGTGGGCGGAAGTAAAAGACTATAAAAGGGCTGGGTATCTGGGAATGGACTCGAACGCCGCCATTTAACATTTGCTAGAGCTACTCCGACCTAACGGTCATATGTCATTTACATATTCTGTATCTTTAGTAACTGCATCTATCCTTTTCAAAATAAGTTATTAAAAAGAAGTGCCTTACATATCCCTCACGCACTTGGTAAATGAATCCCTGCTTTTAGGTAGAACACTACCTAATATTGCCGTCGCAACACTAGTTACGGCAATAACACTAGCTACTGCGGCAATATTGCCGTACTATTGCCGCCTGACTCTGGTACCTCCACTGGTGCGTCACCGTATCGTATTATAATGTGGCGCTAATAACTCTACTGGTGCATCACCGTATCATATCAGAATGTGGCACTATTAACTCTACTGGTGCGTCACCGTATTATTTCATAATATGGCGCCAATACCTCAACTGGTGCGTCGTCGTATCATGTCATAACGTAATACTAGTACCTCCACTAGTGCGTCGTCGTATCATGTCATAACGTAATACTAGTACCTCCACTGGTGCGTCGTCGTATCATGTCATAACGTAATACAAGTACCTCCACTGGTGCGTCACCGTATCATATCATAATGTGGCACTAATACCTCTCTGATGCAGCACAGAATCTTAAGCAGGAATATTCTTCAATAATAATTAACAGGCGCTGAGCGCTCCGGGTTTCCTACTTGGCTTTTTATTTCTCAAAGAAAAGAATATGCACTGGCTTTATACAACAACTACTTACAAGACTTTCTTCGGCACTAAATTTTGAGATAACCTATAACTTGATGAGGTCACGGAAGATTCAAGTGTGCGTTCAAATATTACGTTGCAGGTTGTAAATGAACGTCTAATGAAAGTTATTTTTTGGTTCAGTAGGCTTCTGTGCTTCTGCTCGTGGTATTTTCGTGGTCAAGGCGCAAATATTTACATTGAATTGGTAAAGTAAACACCCGAATGAGCCTCCTAAAGTATACTCAACCAGGTGCTGACTTGACCTTTTCTGTTTCTGAGAAGACAGTCTTTCTAAATTTTACCAGTATTCTTTTTTAATACTCTCTTTCTCTTAATACTAATAATTTAAACTATTATTCAATGAAAATCAAAGTGTATTATTTTTTGTGTGTCAACGAAGCTTGGACACAATGCGTTGAACAAAAGAAATACGTTCCTTAATTGGACGTGGAAACATGAGTCTTTTTCAAGCGCAATCTGTTCCTCTGTTCTGCTGATCTATTAGCTATCAAGTATTCTTCGAGAAATATTTAATATTCGCCAACTAGTGGAGCTTTTAACTTCAACACTAGCAGAGACCAAACGTAACACCGAAACGCTTTTCTAACGGGCTAAACTGGGTCGGGATGACTCACAAGAGTGCAAAAGTGAATCGCTGTTCCAAAAATTCTTAACTTTTTCCCTCGAGTGTATTAATATGGATTCATGAAACTTTATAAAATTTCCCTGGCTTCCCTTTAGTATTGAAATTAATCTGTTACCTTTGCTCTCAATTGCACCAAAAATAAATTACAAAAATTGTACTTGGAGTGCGAATGATATTTTTGGTCAAATCTCAATTCAAAATATTCCGTTTGGTTTATTCGTCCGGCGATGAAATTTTGGGTTCCTTGCCTGAGATCAAATGAAATCTGTATTCAGGTAAACTTTATTTTATCTCTATGCTTCTTTTCTGCCAATACGGTTTATATTCCATAAATTATCGGCTGCGTAAATGCGGATGAAATCTTTCATACTTTCTTTTTTGGTTCCACTGCTGAGTTCAATTGATTTTTATGTTGTTGCTGGTCCGGATTTCGCCGCAAGTGTAATATTAGGATGAAGATGTGTTATTATGACGATGATGTAATATAATGATGAAGATGTGTTATTATAATGTAGATGTGTTATTATAACGATGATGTAATATAATGATGACGATGATGTAATATAATGATGAAGATGTGTTATTATAATGTAGATGTGTTATTATAGCGATGATGTAATATAATGATGAAGATGTGTTATTATGACGATGATGTGTTATTATGATGAAGATGTAATATTATGATGGAGATGTGTTATTACTATGGGAGTGTGTTATTATGATGATGATGATGTGTTTTTTATGTTGAAAATGTGTTTTATGATGAACATGTGTTATTATGATGAAAATGTGTATTATTAAGATGAAGATGTGTTTTAATGATGAGATTGTGTTATTATGATGATGATGTGTTTTTATGATGAGATTGTGTTATTATGATGATGATGTGTTTTTATGATGAAAATGTGTTTTAATGAAGAAGATGTGTTATTATGACTAAGATGTGTTTTTATGATGAAGATGTGTTATTATGATGAAGATGTGTTATTATGGTGAAGATACGTTACTATAATTGAAATGTGTTATCATGATGAGAGTGTGTTATTATGATGATGATGTGTTATTATGATGGAGATGTGTGTCTATGATGAAAGTGTGTTATTATGATGAGAGTGCGTTATTCTGATGTAGACATGTTATAATGATAAAGATATATTATTATGATAAAGATATATTATTGCGATGAAGATGTGCTATTATGACACAGATATGTTACAATGATTAAAAGTATGTTATTATGGTGGAGATGCGTTATTATGAAGAGAATGTGCTATTATTATGAAAATGTGTTATTATGATGAAGATGTGTTACGTTGATGAAATTGTTTTTTATAGTGAAAGTGTATTTTTGTGATGAAAGTGTGTTGTTCTGATGAAAGTGTGTCACTATGATGAAGATGTGTTATTATGACGAAGATGTGTCATTATGATGAAGATGTTTTATTATGACGAAGATGTGTTATTATGACGAAGATATGTTATTATTACGAAGGTGTGTTATTATGATGAAGATGTGTTATTATGATGAAGATGTGTTATAATGATGAAGATGTGTCATTATGACGAAAGTGTGTTATTATGATGAAGATGTGTTATTATGATGAAGATGTGTTATTATGACGAAGGTGTGTTATTATGACGAAGATGTGTTATTATGACGAAGATGTGTTATTATGACGAAGACGTGTTATTATGACGAAGGTGTGTTATTATGACGAAGATGTGTCATTATGATGAAGATGTGTTATTATGACGAAGNGGGTCAAGTGAAGATCTGGGTGAGGGTCAAGTGAAGATCTGGGTGAGGGTCAGGTGAAGATCTGGGTGAGGGTCAAGTGAAGATCTGGGTGAGGGTCAGGTGAAGATCTGGGTGAGGGTCAGGTGAAGATCTGGATGAGGGTCAAGTGAAGATCTGGGTGAGGGTCAGGTGAAGATCTGGGTGAGGGTCAAGTTGAGGACCTGAGTAAGCGGGTTGAAGGTCGGCCTCAACTCGACCTTCGCCCAACCCTCAACCCGCGTACCCTGGTCCTTAGACTGACCCTCACCCAGATCTTCACCCCGACCCTTACTCCGACCCTTACCCCGACCCTAAAGGCGACCCTCACCTAGATATTCACACCGACCCTTACCCTGATTCTTACTCCAACCCTGACCTCGACCCTTATCCCGACCATAATGGCAACTCTCACCTAGATATTCACACCGACCCTTACTCTGATCCTTACTCCAACCCTTACTCCGACCCTTACCCCGACCCTAAAGGCGACCCTCACCTAGATATTCACACCGATCCTTACCCCGACCCTTACCTAGACCCTTACTCATACCCTGACCTCGACCTTTACCCCAACCCTGAACCCGACCCTCATGCAGAAATTAGCCCCAATTCCTGGCTGTGTGCGGGACTGATTTAATTTAGGGTCTGGGCGCATGGGGCCATCGGGCGACCTGTAGCCAATGATGCGATGAATCGAACACGAGCCTCCCCACGGACTGGGGATGATGATCCCCATTCAAGGCAAAGATATCCTCATACACTGGGGAGGTTTGCTCCCCATTCTGAAGCAGAATTTCCCCACACGGGACATTATGTACCACACACCCAAACACATGGGCATGTGCCTCCCCACACTGTGCATGTGCCTCCCCACACGGGGCATGTGCCTCCCCACACAGGGCATGTGCCTCCCCACACGGGGCATGTGCCTCCCCACACAAGGCATGTGCCTCCCCACACGGGGCATGTATACCTCGTACACACAGACGATGTGTATATGCAGTATACACACAGACGATGTGTATATACAGTATACACGCAGACGATGTGTATATACAGTATACACACATACTATGTGTATATACAGTATACACACATACGATGTGTATATACAGTATACACACATACGATGTGTATATACAGTATACACACATACGATGTGTATATACAGTATACACACATACGATGTGTATATACAGTATACACACATACGATGTGTATATACAGTATACACACATACGATGTGTATATACAGTATACACACATACGATGTGTATATACAGTATACACACATACGATGTGTATATACAGTATACACACATACGATGTGTATATACAGTATACACACATACGATGTGTATATACAGTATACACACATACGATGTGTATATACAGTATACACACATACGATGTGTATATACAGTATACACACATACGATGTGTATATACAGTATACACACATACGATGTGTATATACAGTATACACACATACGATGTGTATATACAGTATACACACATACGATGTGTATATACAGTATACACACATACGATGTGTATATACAGTATACACACATACGATGTGTATATACAGTATACACACATACGATNCCTCTCAATACTTTCTTCTGACCTGCGTTGTGAGGCACCTCTCAATACTTTCTTCTGACCTGCGTTGTGAGGCGCCTCTCAATACTTTCCTCTGACCTGCGTTTTGAGGCACCTCTCAATACTTTCTTCTGACCTGGGTTTTGAGGCGCCTCTCCAAAATTATTTTTGGTCTGCGTTTTGAGGCGATCCTTTTTTTCCATTGGCCTGATTTCGATGGCAAGCTTGCGAGGCATCGCGAAATATCGAGTCAATTTATGACTCTTGAAGATCATGTGTTAACCGAGGGCTTCGTCCTTATAATGAAAGAGTTTGTAATAAAAGAAAAGTGTAAAAGAAAGGAAGAGTTTGTAAAAAAGTTCGTAATAAAAGAGCACCGATTAAGTAAATATAAATGAGTAGAGTGTGGATCAAACGAGTCGTTCTTTGTTTTATTGGATGATTAACGAGGAGACAGCCTCGTATTGCTAAAATTATGGAACTGCTTGGATATTGCGTTTCATTTTGCGTCAGAGCTTTGAAAAAAGTGTCTCTCCTTAAAAAATTTGTTCCTAATAGAATTTCCAGTAATCCTTTTCTTCGGAAATCTTCTTCATATTCCTTTCATATTTATATTCTCCTTTCAAGGAATTTCTCTGCAGAAATAACTTTTAAGTATTTCTCTTCTCCGCCTGAAGACAAATGCCGCAAATTTAAAAAAGAAAAACGATCTGTGCAATTGGAATATTGTTGATTATTAATGAAATCGGAATTTTGAAGCCTAGCACTCATCAATGTTGGGTAAAATCGCTACCTGTTATATCGCATTCAGCTTGTTAACAATACATTTCCTGCGGTAATTATGATCATCAAGCTCTGCGTATATTATTCCCTTTCTTTCATTTCTTTTCATCAAGATCAGAGATAATAAATTTTCCCAGTGCTGATATTGACCATGCATCAAACTCTGATTTTATCGTTCCTCTTACATATATATACTTTTTCATCAACATCAGTCCTAGCGAATTTCCTCGACTATCAAGATATGTGTCAATCGTTTACTTCTATCTATACCTCTCACAAAGTTCAGAACAAGCGACTTTTTATGTTTTCTATAGCCCATTTTGTAAGACAAGTATTTTTATCGCAAAAATTCACGTCCTTGCCCGTACGAGGATAACACGTGTCGAACCAATGATATTCTTGAGCTGAAGATGATTAGGAAACTTGGAGAGCTTTGAATCTTGCCAATAGCGCCTAATCAGAGTCACTTTTGTCAACTTCAGAGAGAGCACAAAAATTTTTTAGAAGTCCTCTACACTGAGCTAAAAAAGTTTAGGGCACACAGTCTAAAGTTAATGTATTCAGTTTGAATGTATCTCTCATTTATTACTTAACAACAAATATAAGATTCAAGACTTTACGCGGAAAACCGAAGGTATATAATTAATCATGTGATGAGCCATTAGACGCCTGCGAGTCAGTCTGCCGGACGATTTTAAAGGAAACCGCTTTCATCACGTGAAGTAACTGCTCTTTTAATGACGCAGAGGTGAGTTGATAGCCTATTTCGAGGGGAAGATAGAAGTTAGAAATAGATCGTTAATTGGCACGAGCCGCGCGTTACAAAAGTTCAGTAATTACATCCGCAAAAAGCAGTCAGTGGCAAAATAAAGAAAATATAAAAACAAGTTACACTTTGAGAGTCAAAGCGTGATTAATTGAGCCGAGTTCCGAGCTTTCTTCGAAGGCAAAATGTCAGGAGCAGGAGATGCATCTACGTTGAAATATGACCGTAAGAAGAAAAAGTTTGCCTGTGCACAGAACGACATGAGAATTATCGCGAAAATAGTTATCGTGGAATAAGATACTACGTGTTTGTCAAACTGATATATCAGTGTGAATGGCAGGCTCAAGACATTCATAGAAGCTTTGACATAATTTAAACGAAGGTTTGAAAAATTATGCACAGGCCTAGCCGGGAGTTGCGGTGCAGACTTTAGCAGGCCGTTATTTGATAATTAATCGTGACCGAGAGTTTTGAGTTGAACCATATTGCTGACCATGTGTTAGAGTTCGACCATAGTTGTGACAAAGTGCTTTAGTTGAACCGTATACGCGCATGTAGCGAGCAGCACTAAGCAGCTCGCATGCAGCGAGCAGCACTAAGCAGCTCGCATGCAGCGAGCAGCACTAAGTAGCGCGCATGCAGCGAGCAGCACTAAGCAGCGCGCATGCAGCGAACAGCACTAAGCAGCGCGCATGCAGCGAGCAGGTAGCGCGCATGCAGCGAGCAGCACTAAGCAGCGCGCATGCAGCGAGCAGCACTAAGCAGCGCTGAAAGAGTGAGGACAGAAGTACGACCTGATTTTCAATAATTTTCTGCAAAATAGTTTAGTTAATAATTTTGTTAGTCATATGTTATTGGATGTTATACAATTTATCTATAATATATTAAAAATAAATCTCACATTGCGCATTCGCTGGCAAGTTCATTGCAGCTCCTATAGAGAAAATTATTTCTCCAACGCAATTGAAATCATCGTTGGTTTCTCACTAATTTACAGATCCAATTTCAAACTCGGCTTTTCAAAACAAAAATGAAACTGGCTAAAATGGATCGAGACCGCGATTCCATACATGAGTAAATTTGAGTTAAGGTACGTACCGGGGTGATAACTTCCTTGTACAGTAATTGTCGCAACGCAAATATTTTTTGGCATACTTTCCCTTCTCGCAGATTACTCTAACTTCCCCTTCTCCCAGGTTACTCTAGGAAATTCACAGAATGTTATAATAGCGCAGAACTGAAATTTATTTCCGTCGTCGGCAACGCGACCGCAAAACGATAGCAACGCTACACCAATTTTTATTATAATCTACAGGAATTCACAGAGACTCCAGGAAAGTTTCAAGGGTAATTTGAAGGGAAATTGAAGCAATCAAGTTAGCTTTCGCTGGGTGCGTACATATTGACTGGGCCGGCGTGGTACCCGCGAAGGGCGCCTAGCGCTGTACAGCTACCGAGTGCTGGGTTGTGCGTGCATTTCAGCTGTTTCAAAGTGAATAAATTTCTAGGTTTTGAGAACTTACAAGTTGATATTAGGAAGTTATTAGTACTTATTCTGTTTTAGAAACGGCTGAACTGAATCTTTTAAAATTTGAGTAGCATTTTAATTGTTTAAAAATGAACAACTTTCTAGGTTTGGTAGAATTTCCATGCTGAATTTAAGAAGTTATTAATAATAACTGTATTTCGTAAACGGCTGAACTGAATCTTGTGAAATTTTAACGAATTTTTTACCGCTTCAGAGTGAATAAATTTTTAAGGTTGGGGAAGTTTTCAAGTAGAATTTAGAAAGTCATTAAAACTTGTTCAATTTCAGAAACGGCTGAACTGCCACTCGTTAAATTTGAGCCTACAAATTAATTCCTCTTAAAACGACAAATATGCTACCCAAGTTACAAGTGTCAGTTCAGCCGTCTTTTTGAGTAAATTAACGATGTACTCGTATGTTTAACTTTGATTTAAAAAATTGTAACAAATAAATTTAGCCAAAACACACATTATTGTAGCTGAAATTCATGCAAAAGAATGCTCTAACCGAATAAATTGACTATGTATTATTATTTATTTAACTTTTTAATACGTATCTTTTGCCAAGGGACAAATTTAGCCTGGAAATTATAATCTGGATGCTGTCTGGGGCGGTTTGAATAGCGGTCAACGATGTTTGACGCCACTCCAGTCGCTTGATCGCCATCGAATTGCAGACAGTGATAGCGCTCATCTGGCTTTCGCGTGTTCACGAAGACGCAACTTCGCGTGCTTCCACGCAATGGCAAGTGGCACAAGCGGAATACACACTCACATGCCGAAACTTGGCGCTCATGCAAGATTCGCATGCAAATCTTGAACATCTTTCGCGAGATATTCGTTTCTTCGCGTCGAATCTGCCGAATGGCCTGAGCAATACCTTCATTCAGGTTAGTCGGCTCATTCTTCGAGATGTATTTGTCAATGTAGTAGGCAATCCGCTCATCATTTCCGCA